TCAGTACACAGTAGTACTGAATAAAACATGCTGAAGATGCTCTGTGTTGAAGGATCAGAGGATCTGTGTTCGACTACTCCACTTAGGCTGTATTTTTGAGCTCAGATCCACTGAGAAACTTGYTGTTTCAGCAACATTTAATTTAAAAACTGGACTTTTAAGGTTAAAGAAATGTTCAGAATTCATTTCAATAAATTACAATCAAAGAGCATGGACATTTCTCTTTTTTGTAGCAAACAAACATTGAACCTCTACAAACTTAGGTTTTCATTCAAATTGTTACTTCATTACAAACCTGTGCAGTTAGAATATGAAGCACTTTCAAGGACTTCACAGACAGTAAGCACTTTTATAAGCCTTGAAAACACTTTGTGAAAAATCAAGCTTTTTCAAGGATTTCAAGCATCGGTTTGAACACTGGAAACAGTTCAGGAGTTGATGGGGCTTCTTAATAACAGACATAGGGTAATATTGTTTTTACCTGTTTTAATTTCTTTGTATGTACACCTTGAGTGGCAGGCAGTGATAAAAATCTTAAACACTAATGGGACCTGGGAACTCTCCTGTAGTCTACACAAACTGGTGTCACAGGGTCAAAACTGCAGCAGGGTTTATTCTGATCTTTGCAGTTTTGGAATAAAAGCGTTTTATTTTCAAAGCCAGTAGAACTGGAAACAGGAAGGAGACACAGCGAGTCATAAAATCCCCTGTGCACTAAGGTCAGGCGTAGAAACCAAGGCTGCCCCCTAAGGCCTCTGACATCACTGCAGACAAACACAATGGATGGAGAAACGTGGAAAATATGGTCCCTAACACAGACTGCTGTGTCCAGAGACGTAAGCTGACACTGCCTCGCACCATGTCAGACATTCAATAAATGCTGACAAGTTTTCTACACAAACACTCGTCCAGACGGTGGACACATGTTTGATCTGATGAGTTTCAGCCTCATTTCAAGCTTCARTGTGATGCAAACAGAAAAACACTGCGGCTGTTATCAGTCAGAAGTACCACAGTTAGTGTCTGTGATGGTTCAGGATGAGCTGCTTTCTGTTTTTAACTTGTTTCACTGTGAAAACATATTTCTGCTCATAGTTATACCCTCAGGACTACTACTAGCCCCGAGACAGTAGTGACCAGGACCAGGACCAGGACCAGGACCAGGACTTACATCATGTTCAGTCAATGCAGACGTGTTTAATGGAATAATTGACAGAATTGTAAAATCATCAAAATATATTTTCTGAGTAAATCTGTGGTTCCCTGAACAACACAACACCAGACTTCACTTTACAGCAGAGTTTCTTAACCTTTGTGACCTCAGGGTCCAGTTTGTTGAACATAAAGTGACACGAGGTCCAGTCAGACATTACTAATGGATCAAAATGATAATTATTATAAATCTTGGTTTAATTTTTATTGTATTTACATCATGACTAAACTATCATAACTAACATAACT